AAATGTCTAGAACTAAATTCAGCATCTTCACTCACAAACTACTGCTCTCCCCTTTACCCTGAGCATACTTTTTTCCAAGCTACTGTTCTCTTTAGCTTCCTATATACGGCAGTCAGCAAAGCAAAAACAAAATTTAAAAAAATCCCCTAGATAGTGTTCACAGTTTCTCGGGTCATTTCCCGGCTGTGATCATATTTCTTTCAGCAGGTGTGTAAGGAGCGCCTGCTCCATGCTGGGCACCTGATGAACCAACCAGGCGCAGACCCTGCTGTGATGGGACCTAGATTTAGTGGTTACTTTGTGCCCCAGGCCTCCGATGAGCTATGTCTTAGTTTCCCTTGTTGCTGAGACAAAATACCTGACACCCAGAGTTAAAAGAGGAAAAGTTTATTTGGCTCACAGTTTGTAGAAGTTTCAGTTCATAATCAGCTGCCTCCATGGTAGGGTGACTCATGAAAGAGGGACAACATTCATGGTGGCAGAAGACATCAAAAGCAACAGGAGAGAGAGAGAGAGAGAGAAATAGAAAGAGGTGGGGGGGCAAGCCTCTTTCTGTCCCTTAGATTATATGGGGGCTACCCACCCCAGGATTGGTGTAACACTCACACGTAATCCCAGCATTCCCCCATGAATCAGTCACAAAATCTAGATTCAGCTACCTCTGAAAAGCCTGTCCTCCATGACTTCATGAGGCTTTGGGGGGACATCTAGACACAACCCTAACAGGTTGCATCACCCAAGGGTGTGGTAACACTGCCTTATTTCACATAAGAAGATTCTAAGTCTTCTTGTATGACTTAGTTCAAAGCACATAATCCTGACTTTGTCAAAGTTTTGTGCTGCACAGGATCTATATTTTTATTTTTATTTATTTTTTATTTTATTTAAGGAGAAAAATGCCAGAAAAAGGGTACAAGTTATACAGAATCTCAGAAAAAAACAAACAGTAGGAAATCACTAGCTAACAGATTACATATTGTCATCTTAGAAATAGCTGTTCAAGTTACAAAATTAAAGCATACAAAGTAGACATTCAAACAGTGAGACTGCAAACAGTTCTGTTCAATGATATAGGATCTATATTTTACAATACTTATAATATTCTAATAAGAACTTGTAAATAATATATGTGAGAGTTTGTGTTTAATCCCCAGCACAAAGCAAAAATAAAATACCAAATAACAGCTGGAAAAATAACAACAAAACCCTTAAAAATTAGTATAGAGTAGCTCAAAGGCTCCAAACATAAACAGCAAGGAGATGGAGATGTTAACTACCCTGATTTGATCAGTGCAGTGCAAGCAGGAGGAAACGACACCCAGCATTTGAGGCAGATTTATTTACACTGACAGGCACTGATGGGGACCATTCCCAAAATAGCAGGCCCCATCTCTAGTGGTTTAGAGCTTATACGGGATCAGTGAACAGAAGTACAGAGGCAGAATGGGTTGCAGTTTGGGACTGGTTTATACAATGTGCATCACAGGGACCAGCCATTTCTAAGGGACAGGGGCACTGGGAACTGGAACAGGAAATATCACCTGGGCAACTGCAAAACTAAACTCTACTGGCTGGGTGGGGGCATTTTCTGCTATGCATGGTGTATATGTTTTGAAATATCACATTGTACCCTATAAATATGTCCAGCCATTATATGTTAAAGTGGGTGAATTTGTGTGAGCATAGCCCTGCAATAAATGCAGAAGATGTGGCAATAGGGTCCTTGCCCTTTGAGAACTTGAGAACTGAAGGAACACTGTATCTGCAGGAAATTATCAGCAAAACCAAAACCACAATGCAAAATATTTACGAGACAGTATTCACTCATTGGTTTGCTCACTTACTTCACAGGTACTTGTTGAAGACCTAAAACGTGCTATGCTGGGTGTGGTAAAGGCTGAAATAAAATAGTCCCTGCCCTGAGGAGCTCAAGCTCCTGTGGACAGGAAAGACCTGTGAGCATCACCCAGTGGATCAGGGGATGGACCAAATGGGAGGCCGTGGGGAGCAGATGAGGGCCCATGGACAAGGAAGCCTTCCTAGTCTTTATCCTGAGCATGAGCAGGCCTAGGTCTAATCCTGATTGTCAGGAGAGCCCACATGGCATTAGGAAATCACAGTTCTGTGTCTGGGTGGGTCACAGAGGCGGGACATTAGGGACTGTAGCTTGTCCCTTGCTGTTTCCATATTTTCTGCTTTGCTCCACCATCCGCTTCTGGTGTCTCTGCCTTGGATCTGGCTGACCATGGACAGGATAGCTGAAGGTGGGTAGGGAAGGAGGGACTTCAGAGAGAGCAGAACACGTGCAAATGTACCAGGCAACTGGAGCTGACCGGCCAGGGGAAAGCCTCTAATGTCCAGTGAGTGGTGCTGAATGTCCGGGCAGACACCGGCGGTCAGCAGAGGACTGCACCAAGCCTTCTAGTAAAGTGAGCAGCAAAGGCTGCAGGAGAAATGGGCCTTTCTCTGCACACTGAGGGGCAAAGAGGATTTGGATCAACAGATAAAAAATGCACGTTGGCATCGGGACCCTCTGGAATCTGGTGTAGCCCACCCGTGCCACACCTTCTATTTCATTCTGGATTTCTCGGCTCACGTCCAGAGAGGACGGTAAGCATGGACGACTTGTCAGGCATGTGTGTGAACCCTTATGTGCATGGTGTGGGTATAGCTTGGGCCAGATGGGGCACCTCTTACGAGGAGCAGGGAAGAAGGGGGCTTTTCTTTGTGCAAGGCAGTATTTGCTATTTTGCCTGTTGAATGAGGCCAGGTGGCTCTTACATGGGACTTAAGCACTGAGTTAACAGCTCTGGCTGTGGCAGAAATTTAGCCAGTGCTTCTTTGGGCTTTGGCTGTTGAGTAAGCAAACTCTTCCCTCCCTCCTCCCTCCCTCCCTCCCTCCTTCTCTCCCTCCCTCTGTTCCTCACCTCAGTTAATTACTGATGATGCTCAGGTGCTCGGGTGCACCGGGAAATAAGTTGGTGCCTGCCATTTATATTTCCTGTCATTATTTGCTTTTTGTTTTCCCTGAATATTTAGTAAAGTCTTTTTAAATGCCAGCCTGTTTTAGCTGCACGGAGGGGAAGGGCTGGAGCCCTAAGGGCAGGAGTATATATTGGGGACCGGTAGAGACAGGGCAATCCCGGCGAGCTGGGGAGCTCCAGAGGAAGGTGGCCCTTGGAAGGACAGGGTGGCCCTGCTTCATCAACCCATGGCTTCCCTTACCTGAGCTCTTCTCTACTGAGCCTGTGAACATTCTGACATGGTCCTTCTTGGTCCATCTGTCTTCTCAGGGGGACACTGTGATGCAGGGGTTAATGCACGGCTCTGAGCTGGCCACTGACTGAGCCCCCCACCCCGTCTTTAATGAGTGATGTTGTCACTGTCATTGTGGAAGATGAAAGAGACTCAAGGTTCTCCATCCTACAGGAGGAGAAGACAGCAGAAACGCAAGGGCTCAGCGCAGTGATCTTTATTCATACAGGGAAGGTGGGTTTGCTCATCCTCTGGGCCCATCCTGTACCCCTGTTTGGGATGGGGCCCTGAACACCCGAAGCAGCCCCGTGGCCCAAGGGAGGACTGAATCTGCAGTCTTGGTTTTGACACAAACGTAGGGCAGACTCCAGGGTGGCACCAAGTGTCACCGTGCAGCCCCTGGCTGGGAGGTGCCCCGGGATGGGTACCTGGGAGATGTCAGAGCTCGCTGCTGGCCCCTCTCCCCTCCCCTCTGCATCCCTTGGGCGGGAGCTCCCTCTGGTTCCTTTTCCTGAGCACCATTCACAGCCATCCCCATGGAAACTGTGACAGGGACCCTGTGGGGGGATGAGAGAGGCAGAATAATCAAGAATTATTTGTTTGGGGAGAGAAAAAAAGGTGGAGCGGGAGAGTGGGAGGGAGAAAAGAGAAGAAGGCAAGAAAAGACAGAGGGGGGAGAGAGAGAGGAGAGACAGAGCTTGAGAGAGAGAGAGAGAGAGAGAGAGAGAGAGAGAGAGAGAGAGAGAGAGAGAGAGGAGAGTCTTTTCTTTGGGGAAAAATGGAAATTTAATCAGATCAGTTTTTATAGTGCAAATAGAAAATCAGTTTTAATAAAGCCAAAAGGAAATGCAAAACAGCCGCTTGAGATGGAGATTGTGTTAAACAGACAGCTCTTTAGGAGTAGCCCAGTCTGGGATGTTTACTGTGCGCAGACGGAGCAAGGAGGGGGATTTCTGGCTGAATTTCAAATAGGCGTTTGATTTGGTTTTGGAGGTGGGCGCCGAGCTCCTCCTCCCACCCCTGGGCCCATCTGTCCGGAGAGGGACAGACGGGGACTCGGCCGCCCCAGGAGCACGGTCCCCCTCCCCTTCCCACGCGCGTGGCCCCCAGCGCCCCCTGGTGGCAGCTCCCGCGTCGTCAGCCCCTGCCCGGTCCAAAGACCGGACTCGGCCCTCCGCTGACATACCGGGTTTCAGCGCCTGATTCTTAATTATAGTTCTGGCCCAGCTCTTGGTTTTATTGCTTTCATTTATTATAAAAAGACCAGTGTCTTTTTTTTGAAACGGCTATCTGGTCAAATCACGGTTGATAAGCAACACTGAGCTGTCTTTTTAAGACAGGGCAAATTTATCACACTTAAAAAAAAAAGCGAGCCTTGGTTGGCCTATTAGAAAATCCCCCCCACCCCACCCCCGTTTCCCAGAATGACATTTTAGTAAAAGGCTTTATTTTCCCCCTCAGCTTTCACAAAGCCACTGCCTTGAGAGCGAGCGGGAGGGCGGAGGGTAGGGTGCAGGGTCCTTCTGAGGCTGCTCCACATATATGGAGAGGGCATGGGAGATAGCAGGATCTGTTCTAATGGGGCTGTTAGCACCAGAGGAGAAGAGGGGGCCTCTGGCACGTGTTTGTCAGCTGTTGGTTTTGTAATTAGAAGAGAGCTACACCTTACATTTTGGCAGCACGGCAATTCGAGGCTGTAAGAAAGATATGGGGGTCCAGGCCAGAAAGATAGGTTTGGAGGAGGGGTGTGGGACAGCAAGGGGGGCTGGGCTGGTGGCTCTTGAGGTCACTGTGCTCATCTGTCACCTCTGAGGCTGGCTGCAGAGCCACTTCAGTGGATTCTCCCGTCTTTGCCAAGCAGCTGCTTCTACCCAGTATTCCAGAAATGGGGTAAATCAAGCCCCAGGGTGGGGTGTGGGGCCCAGTGACAATCTTCCTATGGCCGTGGTGGCCTCTGCCCTCTTGCTGGTGCTGGGACAGGAGCTTGAGGGAGGCCATTTTATGGTCCTGGTTAGAAGCTAATGTGCTTTGTGCTGGCAGTTTAGTTCTAGAAAGCACAGAGGTCCAGGAGATGAGGGCGCTCCAGAGAGGGCTGGTCTAGGAGATGGGGATGGGGATGGAGCAAGGACATTGGAGTAGTCCAAGTGGATGGGGTGGTCCAGAGGATGGGGGTGGTCCAGGAGATGGGGGTGGTCCAGGAGACGGGTGATTGCTGCTCTTCCTGGGGTGGGTGGCTCTGTCTTTGGAAGCAGGGCCTGAGTTGATTCTTCTGCAGATGAATGGTATCTGAGTTAGGCTGTTGAAGGAAACCCTTCAATCCAAGATGGCGGGAGGTTTCTCTTCACCCACGACCTTCACGTCCTCTGATGCCTGGAAACACCCCAATGAAGCTGGCTCCTCCTTTCATGCTTTCCTCCCCAGCAGCATTTCTGTGTGCCTCGTTCTCAACAAGACAGCATTCACTGGTAAGCTGCTTCCTTGCTCTGTTCTCCTGGTGAGGCCTAGGCTTCCAAGGGGTGTCACGCCCACTGGTCCCCTGCCCACTCTGTTTATGTCCCTTCCCTAGCCTGGTTTGGATGCCTTCAGCCTTATGTCACTTAGAATCTCCTTTCCGAGGTGGAGAGCGCTGGATTTAGCACTGGAAATGTCATTAATGTCAGGCTACAGTGGGACCCAAAGCTAGATTGGGAGAGAGCTGGGTAGCAGACATTTAGGCCTGTGGGTGTGGGAGGGCTTGGGCTTTGGAGTCAGAGAAGGTATTTGAAATCAGCACGGTTTGGATGAGATTAGGAAATCTGATTTCTCTGAGTCTTGGTTTTCTCATCTGTAAAATGACAGTGGTACTGGGAGGATTATATAAAGTAGAGTAAAAAGTTTGTGTCACTAAACTGGAAATTTGTTAAATGCTATCCTGCCTCTCAGAGGTGAAGACCGGCCAGGCCCGACGGCCTGTGTTGTGGTACAGTGAGGTGACTACAAGTCTTAACACATGGGCCTTGTTCTCCACCACCCGCTGGGTCTCTGCATCTTCTGGTGCCATCTTGGGTGGGCCATTCCCTATTCCTCCAAGATCCATTTTACTGTCCTCGGTGATCTCCAAGGTTTCCCACTTCTGAAAAGTCCTGCTCGTGGGACTCCATTCTGGAATTCTCTGGATCCACAGGCCTTTGTGGTCAGAATCACGCCTGGAACTGCTCCTCCCATCCCTCCAGACATCGCGAAGATAAACAAGGCTGCCTTGAGAACAGGTCTTATTATTTGAGGACTGCAGACTTTAGATTCTACTGAGACACATTCAGTAGGGTCACCAACCACCTCAGCTTGCCAGAGATTAAAAGGTTTGCCAGGACGCAGGACTTTCAGTGCTCAAATGGGGAGAGTCCTGGGCGAAACCAGTGTGAGTTGGTCACCTTCAGACTGGGCTTCAGTTCAGGTCTATAAATGTTAGTTGAGGCCCTTGTGTAGGTAAGGCACAGTAGCAGGACTACTCACAGACAGATTAATTGCCTACCATGTGTGATAAGGGGATTGACCTTGTGAAGCTTGTGTAAGTCCTCCAGGACCCAGAGGAAGCAGGATGAATTGTGATTTGGTAGTGGTGCTGGGGCCAGAGGAGGTGATGGGCCAGAGGAGGTGATGGCTGAGAAGGGTTACGAAGATCGAAGAGATGCTCACAAGGCAATCAGAGTGGAGGGAAGGGGTGCTGGGGATAGATCACAAAAGATGGGCTTGGAAATGCAAGAACATGGTGAAACGGGGGAACAAAATGGTGTGGAATGGGGACGGGAAGTCAGGAAGCTCAGAAGCAGAAGGAAGCTTTCCTCAGGGGCAGCTACGGGATGATTTGGAAGGAAGGCCTCAGTGTCTGGAAAAGGTTGGATGGAGACATAATTTCTGCAGTGTCCTTGTTCCCCCTCAGCCTTCCCAGACCAGTGAGAATGCTTTGGGTCTGCTCCACGCCAGGGCTGCTTGGCTCCCGAGCATGGCTGGGTGCCTGGCCCATGGCTGGAGGCTGTCGGTGTCGCTCCCGGCCGGCAGGAAGAACACGCGACAGATTCTGACGGTGTGCAATCTTGCCTTTATTTATCTCCGCGTGGGCCCCGCGAGGCCTCCGCTCTGTCACCAGCCCTTTCTCGCCGGTGGACTTTCTCTATCCCTCTCTGTGCTTCCTGTCTCGTGGCGGGAGAGGCATTCACTTTTATAGGGTAACAGTGGCCAATCAGTTCAAAGCGCGCGATGCGGGCTGACTGGCTAACATCAGCTGTTGCTAGGCAGACTATCTTACAGAGCGGGTTGTTTAAGTCGCCAGCACAATCAGGGGGCAGGAAGCAGGTGCCAACTTGGCTCACTCGATGGGAGGGGTAATCTAGCTCAGGCTCCGCTCCCACCCACAGGCCCTACGTCCGCCAAGTAAGGCGACCGGTGTCGGCCGCGGCTCCCAACAGGAGGCCAGTGGCCCTGAGCCCAGGGAAACCAGCTGGTGACAGGATAGAGTTGTCCTGCCTTGGCCAGACATTCTGGTGGGCTCTGACCCAGGCTGTGATCCCTGTAGGATCTCTGCTTGGAGACAGCTCTGCAGGAAGAGGCAGAGACAGTGGTCTGCCTCGGTCACGAGTATCTCCCTGGCTCTTTGTACCTACACTGGTGACTCAGCTTTTTTGGGGTGAGGCTCACTGACCTGGTCAAGGGTAATTCTAGCTCCCTCAGAACCTGCAGTCAGCAAGCCTGCGATGATAGAGAAGCCGTGAGCTAGGCCAGACTGTGAGAGCCCGACTAACCCTGGAGACAGGACTGTAGACGGAGTGATGAAGTTGTTGTGGGCAAACGACTGTTTTCCTCTGCCTTTTGCAGGAGAGAATGCGCAGTCTTGATCCATCACAAATCTTTTTTTGGGCGTTACAAACACTGCTCATCCAACTTGTCAGTGAGCCATGAAGACTTGACCTGAGGCTTCAAGGCAGAATCTCCTAGGAAGGAACCCCAGGTGCCAGGAGCCCCGGGAGGACCAAGGCATCTGGCTTCTGTTCTCGGCCTTCGATTCCCTTTTTGTGCAGTAAACGGACTTGACCTTGAGGCGTTTGTTATAGTCAGAGGCTACCATCACTTGCCAATGAATATGCGTTTTTAGATCCCAGGGCCAGCAGTAAATTTACACCCTTACTTTTTTAATAAATGCATGAGGTGAGAACAATATTTTGTGTTTGTTGGGGACACATATTTGGAACTCAGTGCAGTAGACATGGGCTGTCCTGGCTGTGTCCCTCACTTAGGTGCTGCTTGCTTATCTGCGCAGTGTTTTGTCCTTGGGCCTGTTAATTTTTTCTTCACTTAGTAGGTCTCCTCAAAAAGACTGAGCCTCCTTGAAGAATGTGGCCTCCTTTTTTTCTTGTCTTTATATCCCCAGGGCCTGGCACAAAGTAGAAACTCAATAAATGTTAGTCAAGCGAATGAATAAACGTTTGAATAACAAAAATACCTGCTCTACCGACCTCTCTCAGGATTATTGGGAGGATCAAATGAGATAATGCACATGAAAGCACTTTGTAAATTGCAGAGCACTATACAAATGCAAATCACTCACAGCTTTGGTGGAAATTATTATTCAAATTATTATTATTATTTTCACTGTAAAGGAGGACAGGAAGGAGAGGGCAGTGGAATGGTCCCTGATGATGGAAGCCCAGGCTGCAGTCTGGGGCAGTGGGTAGGGTTCTCCAGCCCGTTGGAGCCCCTTTAAATCACCCCTCTGCAGCCGGCCCGCGGGTTGGCTGGGACTGCAGCTGCTGGGGTGGGGTTAGAAGTTGCTGTTGGAATCCTGCCCAGTGTGGGCACGGAGCCGCCGGCACATCACACCCTGAGCGAAATGAATTAAATCCCGAGCTGTAAATGAAAAAGGGTTTCTTTTCAGAGCGGCTTTTCTTCCTTTTCTTTTTCTTTAACGAAGTGAGAAAGATGGTGTGCTAGGAATGGGGAGGAGAGAGAGAGAGAGAGAGAGAGAGAGAGAGAGAGACAGACAGACAGACAGAGAGAAGGACAGAGAGACAGAGAGAGAGAGGGACAGAGATAGAGACAGAGAGACAGGGAGAGACAGAGAGAAACAGAGACAGAGAACAGAGACACAAACAGAGAGAGACACACACACACACACACACACACACACACACACACACACACAGAGACAGACAGACAGACAGACACACACAGAGTGATAGGTAGCGTTTGAGACCCCAGAACCTGGGTTTGGCGCCCTCTCGCCGCCCAGCTCCGGTGCCCAGTGCTATCAATGGCCTCTTCACCCCTGGCCTGCAGGAGAGAGGGCGAGCCGGCCAGGCAGCCAGGAGACAGGAGCAAAGGCGTGATTGATAATTGGCGACTGTAATTCTATAATTCATCTCTGCACCGCAGTGAAATTAAAAGAGTTTAGGTTCCCAAGCATAATGATCATCAATTAAACGCCGAGGAGATTTACTGTCCTCATTTGAATTTTGTTTTATTTATTTAAATGTTTCTCTTTGGCGGGGAGGGGCCGGGAGCGCGGGCCTGGGCTGCCCGGAGGAGCCGCGTCCTGCGGGCTGGGGGTGGAGCGCGGGCCGGGGGCGAGGGATCCATCATCCGGGCCTAATCAGTGAACTCTGATACACTGCCAGCAATAACTGCCAATTGCGCCGGCGCTTGGAGCTGCCAGTTCATTCATTCAGGGAGCGCGGCGCACGTCGGGGAGCGCCGGGCTGCGGGGCGGTGCGTGCGCGTAGACGCGGGCCGGCCTGGGGCGTCGGTCGCTGAGCTGCTCCGGGCTGCCCAGAGGGCCGCGGCGCAGTCCCCAGCCCGGGGACGGCAGGGCCACGAAAAGAAGCTTCAGGAATCGGATACTTCTTAGTGGGGTCCTGCCACCCCAGCGGGGTGACTCAGTTTCCCCTGTGGAACGGAGGCGTCTGCTCCGGCTGGCCTGTAGGAGTCCTCCTAGCTCTGTGGCTTTCCCGGATTGCAGGCGGCACGGATGGCCCTAACCCTCTCGGCCCCCCTTCTCCGGGGACTCGGCCCTCGCGCTCCCCGGTCCGGCCCTCCCCGCCCCCTCCTCCTTCCCCGACTGGCTGTCCGTTTCTCTGAGTTGGTTAGCGCTGCAGTTTCCCGGCATTCTCCGATTCCTACTTCTCACTTGCAATCAAGAAACTAAAAATAGAGCATAAAGGAGCTCTCCAAGGGGGGCGACGGTGGGGTGTGCAGGGGACGCGAAAGTGCTCTGCTTCCCGGGGGACTGAGACCTCATCAGCTCTTCGTGGGGAGCTGGGAATCCAGCCCAGACCATCAGCAAGGCCTTCCTGATCAGCGAGTGGAAAGCCTGAGGAGATTGTGCGGTGGAGGAGGAGAAAGAAGGGACGGTCGTGGGGCATTTTGCATCCCAGGGGATGAGGCCACAGCACCCAGTGGGTGGGAGAGTTGAACTCTGGAGTCCAGGAGGGCCCATGGAGTGTTCTCACTCATCTGCCAGGAGGGGGCGCCCTATTCTAACTTTCACGGAAGCTTCTGTAGGAGCTAAGGCCCTAGGAAGGGTTCTGGGGTCGCCCCTCTGCCCAGGGATTTCTTCATCAGAGCCTCAGAATGGTGCCTTGTATTGTGACACCAGCCTTGGTGTAGTGAGACAAGCTTTGGGCTGGCGCTGGATGTGAGGGCCCTCAGACACTGGTGCTAAGACTGGAAGGTGGCCCACAGGCATAAGACCAGGGAACCTTGACCTCCCACCAACTGTTGTTGACACGCAGGCCACCCTGTCGCCTAGGCAGAGCTCCCTGGCGCTTAGGAAGGCGACGGGCTTGTGTAAGTGGCTTTGCTGCTGGCATTAGGGGAAGACATCTTACTCTGGAATGTCCAGCCCTGGGCTTCTGTGCTACTCTGTACCCTTGTTCAAGGTGCTCTTTCTTCTGAGCCTCAGTTTCCTTTCTTGTCTAATAATAGGATATATTGTATGAAAGCTCTTGGGGGTGCTCCATACAAAAGATTCTTGTTATAGCTTTCATCTCTTGTGCATAAAAAATAGGCAGCAGCCCAGCCTTATCCTCCTGGGGGCAGTGCAAAGGGAGGACTTAAACATCACCCTTGTGTGGCACTGCCTCAAAGTCCCCTTCCTCAAGTGGGGCTGTCTTCAGGATCCACGAAGCTTCCTCTCCTGCAGGAGGAAGGGAAATGCCTCATATTAGAATCCTGAGACTTGCTGGGTTTTGTGCCACCGATTGAAATCAAGATACAGTTTCTCAGTCTCCTCTGTGTCTTGTTGAACTCATCCAGTTCCTCACCAAGCCGATTTCTACTGAGAGAATCAGTTCTTAAAAACGTGGTGATTTCTCCAGCAAGGGAGGGCAGTGAGGAGCCAGCCCCTGATGGAGTGGCCACCTGCTCCCCCTGACCTGCGCATCGCAGCCCTCCGAGCCTCAGCGTCAAGGCCGTCTCTTCTGACTTCTAGAAGAGCTTCTCTCACTTTCCGCCTTGCTTCCCATCCGAGGAGAGACAAGGTGACCGACCCCCTGTCCCCAGGAGTGCCTGCCCACTTTCTGTTTACATCCCTTTGTACCCTGGCCAGCCACAGCCACTGGCCTCCGGCTTCTTTCGGCAGATCAGCAGCTGTATTTGGGGTGAGGAGCCCTGAGAGCCCAGGATGCTAAAATTTTCAGTGTGGAATCCACAGGAGCACCAAGCCCCTAAATGGGCGTACAGCCCAACAAAGGCTTTTTTAAAATTATGTACGGTCCTCTTCTCTGATTACAAAAGCAATACATATTCATGGTCAAAAATTTGAAAAATACAGAAAAGCACAAAGAAAAAAATTCATCCATATTCCACCACCCAGAAGCAACTGCTATTAATAGTGAGGTGAGCCACCTCCTTGTCCTGCCCTTTCACGCTGCTGTCTCTTTATCTCTGTCTTTTAATGGGGTCTCACTCGGCAATACAGTTTTGAGTTCTATTTGGTAACGGCGTATCAGGAGCAGCCACCCCTCACACACACACAGATGCGATTTGATGAGTGTGGCCAGGTGTTTGGTCTGGGAAATGTGGGATGGAGGCTCTCAGAGGAGATCACAGCAGTGACAGCTCCGACTGCCAGCTTCCAGTGGAGACAGAGGACCGTGAAGTCCACCGATGCAGGGCAGCCCTCGAGGCAGAGGCGCAGGTCAGTGTTGCAAGCACGCTGTGAGATTTATGGCAGGCAGATCCTGCTGCGGCACTGGAGGCCCTGTCGCTGCCTGGCCTTCTTCCTCTGCGGGCTCTGCTTCTGGTCACAGCAGGCCAGCTGGGGACAGGCCTGGAATGGGGTGCAGGTCACTGGGGGGCTGTGACAAAGTAACAGTCGAAGGTAAACTGGAAACAACAGCAGTGTAGAGGGTGGCCCCATGCATCAGTTGGGGTGCGGGTGGAGGCTGAGAGCGCTCTCCCCCAAGGTCATGTGATTAAGGACAGTAACAAGGGAGTGGCTGAGTCCACTTAAACTGCACAACTTTGGGGCATGCAAACCTGGGCCCTCACCACCTCCAGATGCTGATCAGATCCTTCCAGGATCTTGGTTTGGTGACTCTGCTCACACCCAGCCCATCTTGTCAACACAGCACACTGCGTTCACCTTTCTGAAAGAATTATGTTTGGATCATCTGACTATAGGCTCAACAAAGCCTGTCTATCCCTGCAGACGTTTTCCTGTTTTCACACTCAGCTTTAGATGCTTTTCCTTTGTAACAACAACAACAACAACAACAACAACAACAACAATAACAACACCCTAAGTAGTCTGACTTAAAATAGGAGCAGAGCAGGAGGAGCAAAGGACATGAGTAGACATTTCTCCAAAGATGATGTACTGATAGCCAACAAGCACATGAAAAGTTCAACATCATTAATCATTAGAGAAATGCAGATCCAAACCACAGTGAGATGTCGCCTCGCAGAGAGAGAGAGAGAGAGCGAGACAGGGAAGGAGGGAAGGGGAGAGAGAGAATGCGTGTGAATGTAGACAAATTGGCACACTTGTGCATTACTGGTGGAAACGTCAAATGATACAGTCACTGTAGAAAATAGTATGGCAGTTTCTCAAAAAATTAAAAATAGAATTACTGTATGATTTAGTGATTTCACTCTTCCACTTCTGGGTATATATATCCAAAAGAATTGAGAACATATTCTTGAAGAGATGTTTGCACATTCATGCTTGTAACAGCAATGTTCACTGTAGCCAAGAGGCAGAAACAATGTCAATGTCCTGGACAGATGATTGGACAAACAAAAGATGGTCTGTACATGCAATGGAAGATACTCAGCCTTAAAACATGCTACGACGCAGATAAACCTTATCAACAAGGTTTATCTTAAGTGAAATAAATCAGTCATGGAAAGACAAACACTGCATGATTTCACTTACAGCAGGTATTTAAAGTAACCAAGTCCACAGAGGTAGAAAATAGAAAGGCGG